AGAGCATCCAGACCAAGACAGACTCGGAAGAAGGAAGAGGCCATGCACTTCTCAAAGAACTGGCCAATGAAAACTTTATGAAGAGCCCTGAAACATGGTCCGATGTAGTGCCAGAGGATGAGCTCCTCAGGACGGAATGCACTCAAAACATGACTGGGGAAGAGCTGCCTCCTCAGAGTAGAACCGGTTTTAACAATATGGATGGAGTAAAGCTTTCAGGACCTCTAACTGCTCATGTGGCATGACTCAAAATGAGAAGAAACAGTTGCAAACATCCATTAATAATCGGAACATGGATTGTACGAAGTATAAATATAGGAAAATTGGAAGTTGTCAAAAATTAAATGGAATGCATCAAGATTAATATCCTAGGCATTAGTGAGCTGAAATAGACTGGTTTTGGCCATTCTGAATCAGAGGACCACATGACCTACTATGCCAGAAATGACAAATTGAAGAGGAATGGCATGGTATCCATCATCACAAAGGATCGTTCAAGATCTATCCTGAGGTACAATGCTGTCAGTGATAGGATGAAATCCATACCCCTACAAGGAAGACAAGTTAATACTACTATTATTCAAATGTATGCATCAATCACCAAACACAAAGATGAGGAAATTGAAGATTTCTACCAACTCCTGCAATCTGAAATTGACTGAACATGCAAGCAAGATGTGTTGGTTATCACTGGTGACTGTAATGCAAAAGTTTGAAACAAAGAAGAATCACCAGTAGTTGGAAAATATGGCCTTGGTGATAGAAATAATGCTGGAGAACACATGATAAAATTTTGCAAGACCAACAACTTATTCATTGCAAATAGCTTTTTGAACAACACAAATGGTGGCTATACATGTGGACTATACCAGATGGAACAGACAGGAATCAGACTGACTATATCTGTAGCAAGAGGTGATAGAGAAGCTCAATTTTCAGCCAAAACAAGGCCAGCAGTTGATTGTGGAACAGAACATCAACTGCTTATATGCAAGTTCCAAATCGAAGACAATTTTAAAAAGCCCACAAGAGCCAAAATATGACCTTGATTATATCCCTTCTGAATTTAGAGACCATCTAAAGAATGATCCACTGAATAACAATGACCGAAAACCAGAGGAATTGTGGGATGGCATCAAGAATGTCATCCACGAAGAGAACAAGAGGTCATTAAAAAGACAAGAAAGGAAGCAAAGACCAAAATGCATGTCAGAGGAGACTCTGAAACTTGCCCTAGAATGGAAAGTAGCTAAAGCAGATGGAAGAACTGACAGGATAAAAGAGCTGAACAGAAGATTTCAAAGAGCAGCTCGAGAAGACAAAGCCAATTATTATATGAAATTTGCAAAGACTTAGAGTTAGACAATCAAAAGGGAAGAGCACACTTGGCATTTCTCAAGCTGAAAGAACTGAGGAAAAAATTTAAGCCTAAACTTGCAATATTGAAAGATTCTATGGACAATATATTGAATAACTGAGGAAACATCCAAAGAAGATGGAAGGAATACAGTCACTGTACCAAAAAGAAGTGGTCGATGTTCATCTATCTCAGGAGGTGGCATATATGATCAAGAACCAACGGTACTGAAGGAAGAAGTCATAGCTGCACTGAAGGAACTGGCAAAAAACAAGGCTCCAGGAATTAACGGAATACCTACTGAGATGTTTCAACAAATGGATGCCATGCTGGAAGCACTCACTTGGCTGTGCCCAGAGATTTGGAAGATAGCTACCTGGCCCACTGACTGGAAGAGATCCATATTGGTATCCATTCTAAAGAAAGATGATCCCACAGAATGTGGAAATTATCGAACAATATCACTAACATCACATGCAAGTAAAATCTTACTGAAGATCATGCAAGCTGGATTCAAGAGATGTGGAATGAGGGATGTCACTGCTGACGTCAGATGGATCTTGGCTGAAAGCAAAGAATACCAAAAAGATGTTTACTTAGGTTTTATTGACTATGCAAAGCATTTGATTGTGTGGATCATAACAAATTATGGATAACATTGAGAACAAATTATGGATAACACTGAGAAGAATGGGAATTCCAGAGCACTTGATTGTACTCATGAGAAACCTGTACATAGACTAGCAGGTTGTTGTCTGAACAGAACAAGGGGATACTGCGTGGTTTAAAATCAACAAGGTAGTAAGTATGTCAGGATTGTATCCTTTCACTATACTTATTCGACTTATATGCTGAAAAAATAATCCAAGAAGCTGTATTATATGAAGAAGAACATGGCATCAGGATTGGAGGAAGACTCATTAACAACCTGTGATACACAGATGACATAACTTTACTTGCTGAAAGTGAGGATGACTTGAAGCACTTACTGATGAAGCTTCAAGACTACAGTCTGCAGTATGGATTACATCTCACTATA